CGCTCCCATCGCCGCGGCCGCCGCAGCTTTTGCTGGCCCAGCCTTGTGCTGCCGACATGCCGGGGGGTCTAAACATAGTCCCGGGGGGTATTTCGGATTGCCCGGAGGGATTTTCATGGATAGATACAGAAAGGGACGTGTGCGTGTGAGTCCCGACGCTTCTCGCTGGCCGAGCTGGGGAAGGGGCGGCGGCCGCGGGCAAGGCTGGCACGGCCCTGGGTGGTTTTGCAGGAAAAGAGATGGAAACTTTGTTTTAGGGTGCCAGCTGTGGAGAGGGATGCCCGAATGCTGGGATTGTGGCTGGGGGTGTCCGTGTGTCTGCAGGGCTGGTGGGGAGGTCTTGGAGCAGGACTCCTGCTGAATCTGGGTCTCAGTCTTGAATCTGGTTCTCAGTGGACCACAGTCTCTTGAATCTGGGTCTGAGTGGATCACAGTCTCTAAAATCTGGTTCTCAATGGATCACAGTTTCTTGAATCTGGTTCTCAGTGGATCACAGTCTCTTAAATCTGATTCTCAATGGATCACAGTTTCTTGAATCTGGGTCTGAGTGGACCACAGTCTCTTGAATCTGGGTCTGAGTGGATCACAGTCTCTTAAATCTGGTTCTCAGTGGATCACAGTCTCTTGTTCACTGGTTCTCCGTGGATCACAGTCTCTTGAACCCGGTTCTCAGTGGATCAGTCTCTTGTTCACCATTTATCAGTGGATCACAGTCTCTGGCTCACCAGTTCTCAGTGCATCACAGTCTCTTGAATCTGATTCTCAGGGATCACAATCTCTTGCTCCCTGGTTATCAGTGGATCACAGTCTCTTGAATCTGGTTCTCAGTAAATCACAGTCTCTTTCTCACTGTGTAACCCCAGCATTTATCCTGCTACAGCTGGGACAGGCTGGCACCTGGCATCTCTAACTGTCCAGCTAAAGCTGTGTAATCCTCACCCAGCATCACAGCCAGGGCTGGAGCTTCAACTTTGACAGCCCAAGCTAGGTGTAAAAATAATTGTAATTGCACTTTTGGGGGTTTGAATATTGCTGGAGCAGGGACAAAAGGAGCAGTGGCAGGGTGCTGGTGCAGGAGGAGGGAGCATCCATGTTGGGTGCATCTGCTGCCTTTAACTGCTTGGTCTGGTGTGATGCATTTTTACAGGCAAGCAGAGGGCATGAGGTGGAGCTTGCTCTGACGTAGGGAGAAAATGCAGTTCTCAAAAGGAGGGAAAAGTGCTGATTAATTTGGAATAAGTTGGGAATGAAAAAATGATACTCATTGGTGGTGGACTGGTCTGGTTTCGAGCCCTGTGCGGCTCCAGGGGGCTGTTGGCTCATCTTGTGGCCTTGCATTGTTTAGGTCAAGGCAGGTAAATCAGGTTTAATTTGACCTTCAGCAGGTTCCTGCCTGCTGGAACCTCATATTTTATTGAAAAAAACCAAAACAAACAACAAAAACCAACCAACAAAAAAACCCCAAAAACCCAAACCCGAAAACAACAACAACAACAAAAAAAGGCCAAAAAATAAAACCCAAAAAACCAAAACAAGCAAACAAAAAAACCAAACAAAAAAACCCAACCAAACCACAAAAGCTTTTCTGGATCAGTTTGTGGGAAAGGGAAAGGGGATCCTTCAGATTGTGTTCACGCTTTTGGAAGCACAGAATGCTCTTTGGGAAGAAGAAAGTGTTGTCCGTAGAGAATCTGCTTTGTTTGATCTACCTCTTCCCCCCTGTCTTTTAGTAAATCTCTCTGTTTTGGTTGAGTGAAATATTCTGCTTTTATTCTATTATTTTATTCTTTTATTCTATTCAGGATTTCATAGGAGTGGATTGTTTTAGGGATTCCCGGGCTGGAGCAGGCAGGAATTTGTCTGAGCCAAACAACCTTCCTCTGGCACCAGCAGGCACCAGCTGCTTGGGAGGAAAGTGCTTGAAACCCTACAATTATGGGATAATGTATTCCAAGAGAGTTTCTTGGCTTTCCATTCCTGGGCTGGAGAGTTTCTATTCCCTCCCCGATCCTTGTGAAATATTGCTGAACTTGGATGTTCTTGTCACCTGCTCCTCGATGGGGACAATCCCACAGCAGCAACTGGCCGGGCTTGGGGCTGGGCAGGAGGGAAAAAACCCCCAAATTTTCTGGCATTTGCTTTGAATTTTGTGACTCTGCTTGTGGCAGAGGAATCTTTGAAAAGATCTGGAGGGGCACGGCCTTCCACAGCCACGTATAGAGCCAATGGAAAAGGGATGGGGAATTAACAATATAACCTGGATTGTTCAAGGGAATTAGGCACAAAATTCACTCAGGGATGTTGGTTAATCCTGCAGGGCACTGTCAGTATCCAGAGAAGTTTTATTCCTGCTGGGGCCTGGCCAGAAGCTGCAGCAATTGTCCCCTCTGGCTGGGGACAGGTTTGAGGGCTCAGGACATGGAGGACGGGTGGCCTTGGGCCACCACCCCACTCCACAATTTTACAGACAAACTCCAGTCCTGGGAGATTTTTCTCTCTTCTTTCCCTTTATTTTGACTTCAAAAAACCCCACTAACAAACGCACACACATATTTTTCTTCTTTTTCACGAAAAAAGGTCTTTCCAACATCAAACCCACCCATGTGCAGGAGCAGGGCTGGATCTTTTTGCAGGCAGAGCTTTCCCACGGAACTGTGCATTTCTGGCTGCTCTTTACTATAGAAAATCTCTGATTTTTGGAGGTGAGGGAGCCTGTCCAGCCCCTCTGCCCAGCCTGGCCGAGGCTGTGACAGGATGGGGACAAGCTGGCAGCGATTCTGGAGTGAAAGCAGGCTGCCTCCCTCCTCTGGTGCAAGGGATGGCCACGGAGCAGGTTGCCATGGAGAACGGGGATTATTCTGCGCGTGTGTGTGTACAGGCTGGTGGGGGGGGGGGGAATATCGTAATTTTTTTTGTCAAAAAACCCCCAATTTCTGATGGAGTGCGATGCCGTGCTCGCCCGACCTTGGGAGCTCCAACCTCCAACCCCATCCCCATCCCCTCCTCCCCTGCTGCTGCTGCCCCAGCCCCTCCATCGGACTCTTATCTCCAATAATCCCCCCTAAGAGGGCTTTCTGCTTGTTATGACACCCAGTGAAAGCGTGGGAGAAAGATCCTTTCTTCGCCCTTGTCCTCCACAGCCAGCCACTAGCCTGAATGGGAGGCTTTTTTGTGTCTCTGTGTGCCTGACTAATTGAGCTGAAGGACTTGCGTCTGGAAGGGCTTGAAAGGGACTTTTGTTGCCGCTGCGGAGTTTGTGGAAGGAGAACGAGCTCTGCTTTCTTAGGGAACGCGGCTCCTGGGCAAATTTGACTCTCGAGTGCTCACGCCTACCAGTTCTTTGGGAAAATAAGAAAAAAAAAAAAGGGTGGTGGGATTGGATTTTTTGTGTTGTGTGTGGGGTTTTTTGGGGGTGATTTTTTTTTTTCCAGCGCTATTGGCGCTGGAGAATTGAGTCTGGCAAAAAAAAAAAAAAAAAAAAAAATCACCCTGGCCCCGGAAGGTTGGTGAGCTGGCTGTAAAAAAAAGGGCTTGGTGAGATGAGGTAAAAACTGGCTAAAAATAACAGTATCAGAAGCCCTCCAAAAATAACAGTATCGAGAGCTCTTGCCTCCAAAAATAACAGTATCGAGAGCCTGTGCCTCCTGCAGCTTTTAAAGCCTCATAATCCAACCCCAAATCTTCTCCAGGATTCCATGGGAAATTCCTTTGTGGTCCACGGATGCTTTCACATCCCGCTGCATCCTGAGCACCAGCCATCACAAGAGAGTTTAAGTGGCAGCTGCAAAATTCCTCTTTTCCTTTTGGCCTTTACAGGAGTGCTGAAAAGTTGGGATTCTGCCTTAAATTGGTGCCAGGTGATGCCCAGGTAGTGTGGGCATCAGGAAGGGATCTTTGTTCTATCTGTGACAGCCCCAACCCTTTATCTTCCTTAAAGCACCCAACATCCTGCTTGGTAGGAAAACCAAGAGGTTTTTCCCACAGCAATTTGGGAATTTAAAGGTTCTTTTCCACTGGGAATTTTGGTTTGGGATACCTGGATTATCTTCCCTGTTGGTATCTCCTGCGGCACTTTTTTCCCATCACGAGAATTTGGTGTTTCCATGTGTCCAGGAGATTTTCTTGCTTTGTTTGGTAATTTTTCACGATACTGAATTCATTCAAAGACCGTCTCCAGCCTGAATTTTCCCCATGGTGTGGCTGTGCAAAACCTACTGCTAAATGTCTGTCCTGGAAAACATCCTCTGGCAAGGAGGGAATGTGGGATTTGGGAGGAAAAAATGGCTTTTGAGGTACAAAACTTCTTGGCATGTGGCAAAGATGGCTTTTTAAGTGGCTGGTGGGAGAAATGGGGAAGAAAGTGGCTGGATGGGGTCACTTTGTTCCTGTTGCTTATTTCCCATGGGATGTGCAGCCCCTGCACCTCGTTGAGAAACCGCTTGAAATGATTTTCCAAAATATATTTTCAATAAATATATTTCCACTGTAATTTCTCAACACCTCCCCTCACCCTTTCTTCCTTTATTCCATAGATCTTGCAGGTCCCTCCAAGCAAAAAATTACTGTAGAAGCTGCCAGGGTCCATTCCATGCCCTGTGTGGATAAACCCTCACAGGGTGTGTTATTGATTTCTAATGACAAGGGGTTAAAATGTATTGAAAATTGTGTTTTTAATGGGGTGATGTAGAGGCTGCAAATGCCCAGGGCATCTCTTTTCCCACCCTGTGCCCAAGGGTATCTTCAGGAGCTTTCCAGAGCCAAAAAGTTGAGTCAGGAATGGGGGAAAACCAGAACAAACAGGTTTGAAACAGATTTAGACAAGAGTGGTGAAATTTTATAGAGAGGGAAGGTGAAGGCAAAGAGAGCTGAATGAGCAGGAGGCTTTCTAAATTAAAAAAAAAAAAAAATCAAACATTTTAAAATCACTTTTGGAGACGGAACCAAACCCTATTTTTTAAAATAGGGTTTTTAAATTTTTTAAAATTTAAAAACTCCACTTGGAGTTTTTAAATCCAGCAATTTCTGCGCTGCTTTCTGCCAACATTGTTCTAAACCCAACCTTGGTTTTGTGTCCTGCAGCCCGAAGCCCTGTCCTGCTGAAGATCCTGGGATGCCCACGACACCAGGTATGTGTTAATGCACCCTGACTCCTTTCTGGGCCAGAAAATGACAATTTTGGGGTATTTGGATGCTCATCAGGCAGCATCTGAGGAGTTTGTCCTGTCAGCCCCACGCCAGGATAATTCAGTATTGGTTATCAGTGATGAGCAGCTCCCGGCCACGCCTGGGCATTGCTGCACCCCCAGCATCCCCCAGCCCCTTTTTATATTTTTTCTATATTTTAATTTTTTTAATGTGTGTGTTTTTGTTTGTTAGTTATTTTTTAATATATGCTTTCCAATAACTAATTAAAAAAGAGAAAAATCACCCAATTCCACTTTTGGAATGATGTGTGAACTTGGAAACTGGGGCTTGGAGTCAAAACAAGATGAGGGGAGCAAAGCAAGGCTCCTGCTCCAATAGGCTGGACACCAGAAAACATAAAGAAAACCAAATTACTGGTGCCTTTTAAAAATATTATTATTTTTATATTTTTAATTTAAAAAATATTTTTAGTAAGGAAAGAGATTTGCCAAAGTGCACACCTCACGTATATTTTACCCTCTGCAGAGGTCTTATTATGCTGGAACAAGCTTAATGAAATAAAAGGCTTTATTTTTTTTATAACTGACCAGTAGTTCTGCACTCGTGCATTTCAGAGCACAGCAAAGTGACTCTAAACCAATAATCTTTGTAATGTCTCAAACCAAACCCCTAAAATGTGGGAAATTCTTGTCCTTGCACAGATTATTGCTGCTGCATGTAATATCTTATAGCTCAAATAACAAGAGATTTTGAGCAGATTGGGAAAAAAAATCAAATGTAAAAGGAGGTATAGAATAGAACAGAAAAATCAGGAGGTTTTGGAACAGATAAGAAATAATTCTTGGACAAAACACAGCAATAATCCCGAAGTACTTTATTATTGTGAATCAATACAATGTTGCCGTAAAATATTTAGAATTCTGCCATACATCTATTTCTCTGTAATATTCATAATTCCTGCAATCCCAACATTCAGTGAGCACGAGGCCACTGCCCAGAATTTCCTTGTTTCAGTTCCCAGCACTGGGGCCTTCCATCTTTGGGGCAGGGATCAGGGATCAGAATTTTTACAGAGCTCTGGAGGAGTGGGGCACTGATGCCACACAGTTTTTGACGCACTCTGGGCATGCCAGGATGCTGGACAGGTCACAGGGATGTGAATTGGGACCCCAGCGCCACCACTGCTGCCCTCTGCTCCTCCTTCCCTGTCTCCTCGCAGAACCACGGGCTCACCCAGCACTGGGGGAAATTGCAATTTAATTTTTTTTCCTCAATGAAAACACTGGGAAGAAAAAAATAAAGGGGGGGAAGAATGGGATCTTGGTGCATTTTGTGACTTTGTTCCAAGCAGAAGAAGAGCCAGGGGCTCCAAGGCCAGCCCAGCAAGCGGGTTCGATGTGAGCAGCCAAACCCTTGTGGCTGCCAGGACCCTTTTCTGCTGCACCACCGGAGGGTTTCACCTTCTGCCAAGAGCGGCCTGCTCCCCTTCTTTCTCTTCCCTTCCTTTTCTTTTATTTTCTATCCTTTCCTTTATTTTCTTACCTAATATTTATTTAATTTTATTTTTCGATTTATTATTAAATTTTCCTCTTTCTTTATTTTCCTTTATTTTCCTTTTAAATTTCCTTTAATTTTCCTTTTAATTTTCCTTTTAATTTACCTTAAAATTTTCCTTTTAAATATTTCATTTCCCTTTCATTTTATTTCTCCTTTTTTGTTGTTGTTGTTGTTGTGATTTTCCTGTATTTTTCCCTTTGTTTTCTTTTCCCATTTTAATTTCCATTTTCCCCCCAATTTCTCGCTTAAGCCTGCTTTGTCTTGTCTCCTGCTGGAACGTTTAACGAAGGGCCAGCCGCTCCCACGCCAGTAGGGTTTATTTTATTGTTGTTGTTGGTATTTTCCTGGTGCTTTGTTCCACCCTCCCCATCTCGGTGCCCATGGAGGGGTGCGAGTCGGGGTGCCCATCATGGATGGGGAAGCACAAAGCCCCAAGGAAGACACGAGGGCTCTTGTTATCCTGGCCGTGCAGGAAAGAGTTAACCCATTAGAAATTCCGAGCCCTTCTTCCGATAGTTAAACCTGATTTGCATGCATTTGCATAATGAATGTCATTTGCATTCTTGGAGGTTGGCTACTTCTGTGGGAAAAGTCAAAGCGGGATTGCGGGGAGGGTGAAGGGGGGTCGGTGAAGAAAGAAGGGAAGATTTTTTTTCCCTGCACCCCCGCGCATCCCTGCCCCTCGCTATCCTCACCTAAATGCTCTTTTCCTTCCCCTCTTTCCCCCCATTTTCCCCCCTCGAGGCCTTCCTCCCTTCTCCCTTCCGCAGGACACAAAGGCAGCCATCGCTGCCTAGGCCGTGCCGAGGCCAGGCGCATCCTCTCCCGCTTGCCCCCCTTCCCCTCCTTTAATTTCTGCCTCTAATTCCATCTTGGCTCCCGTTCCTGGCGCCCTCGCGAGCGGGGGGCTGCGGCCCCGGCCCTCCCCTCCCCGTGGGTGCATGCGTGCTGAGGGAAAGGCAAGGTGGGAGCCACCATTTTAGGCAGCTGCTGTGTAAAATGGCCGATTCCCCTCGGCTGGGCCTGGCCATGCGGGCGGGAGCGTTCCGGCGGCTTCCATCGCGTTCCGGCTGCTTCTGTGGGATGGGACAGAGCCGCTTGCGGTGCTTCGGGTGCTGCAGCTTTGCCATGGAGCCTTTGGCCTCAAGGGGCTCATCCCAGCTTCGCTGTGGGGTCTTCAGCCTTGAGGGGCTCATTACGGCCTTGAGGGGCTCATCCCAGCCTCATCCCGGGGCTTTTGGCCTCAAGGGGCTCATCCTGACCTTAAGGGGCTCATCCCAGCCTCTAGGGGCTCATCCCAGCCTCACTGTGGGGCCTTCAGCCTTGAGGGGCTCATCCTGGCCTCATCCCGGGGCCTTCAGCCTCAAGGGGCTCATCCCGGCCTTGCTGTGGGGCCTTCGGCCTTGAGGGGCTCTTCAACCTTGAGAGACTCATCCCAGCCTTGCCATGGGGCCTTTGGCCTCAAGGGGCTCATCCCAGCCTCAAGGGGCTCAGCCCGGTCTTCGGCCTCGAGGGGCTTATCCCAACCTTCAGCCCTGAGGGGCTCATCCCAGCCTCGCCACAGAGCCTTTGGTCTCGAGGGGCTTATCCGGGCCTCACCATGGGGCCTTCGGCCTTGATGGCATCATCCTGGTCTTCGGCCTCAAGGGGCTTATCCCGGCCTCACTGTGGGGCCTTCAGCCTCGAGGGGCTCATCCCGGCCTCAAGGGGCTCATCCTGGCTCATCCCGGGTTCTTCAGCCTCAAGGAGCTCCCACGGACCCTTCAGCACTGAGGGGCTCATCCCGGCCTTGCCAGGGAGCCTTCGGCCTCAAGGGGCTCATCCTGGCCCCTCTTCAGCCTCAAGGGGCTCATCCCGGTCTTTGGCCTCGAGGGGCTTATCCCAGCCTTCAGCCCTGAGGGGCTCATCCCGGCCTCGCTGGGATTTGGGATTTCCTTCTTCCCGCCGTCACTGGGATGTCACAGCCACAAAACCCCTCAGCCAACACACACCCCAAAATCAGCCTCTTTTCACCTCATCTCCAGGTTTTGCACCACCGAAGGCAGCTGTATCATATTTTTTTGCTGTATTTTTAAAAAATTGTTGTTCAAAGTATCCTCCGTGCCTTCCTGTGGGGCTTCAGGCTTGGCTGCTGAATTTTTTCTTAGATGCGCTAGATGATGTTTTATTCTTTGTGTACTGTGATAACATTAGCGAAACAGCTGTTTAATTATTTTTTTTGTACCCCTCCTCCTTCTTTTGGACTAGAAAAATTCAATAGCCTCATTTTTTTTCTGTGGCTGAAGCCATTTCATGGCTGTTTAAGAAAGGGGGGAAGAATAAATGTGAAACAAAAGTGACTTCATCTCCTTCTGTGTGCCATGGGCTGAGGCATGAGAACCTTCACCTGGTCCAAGTGATCTATGGGCACAAAGTTAAGGTTAATCTCAGAGAGGGGAAAAAATCTCTTCACATAACTGGTGCGAAGTGATTAATTTTGCCACAGAACCTGAAATATATTGGGGTATTTTATCTGAAGCCCCATTGCAAGGGGTTTGTGATTTAGGTGAAAATCTTGGTGTTCCGTGAGGCCGCGTTTGTTGTTCTTTTTAATTTCTCCCCATCCCTCTGTTGCCATGAGACCTGGAAACTTAAAAGCCTAAATATGCTAAGTGAGTTTAACCCTGGTGTGACGGGAATTTCGAAAGCAGATTAAAACCAACTCAAAATTTATCCCTAGAAGAAAAACAAATCACATTTTTTTGCTTGTGGGCTGATGCTGGACTCCCAGACACACCTGGTTTGGGGCAGCCCCGTGGGGAACGTGGCTGGGCTTGGCTCTGGTCTGGTCCTTGGTGGGGTCTGTGGGGTGGCAGGGGCTGGGGAAGGGGAAATGTCACTGCTGTGTCCCTTCAGCTGGAGCTGGGAGGGGCCACGCGCTCCCCTCCGCCTGCCAAACGTGCTTAGTCAGGAATGGGAAATACTTCCCTAAAACTTGCAAAAATGCACTAAGGCTCTTAGCTCTTGGGCTAAGCTGCAGCTACTTAGTCCACTTCTCACTGCTGTTATTTATAAACTTCAGGCTGTGCTGGGGGATTTTTTTTTTCCCCATTCCTTTTTTTCTGGTTCTTTCCCTGGGATAGGGCACAGGAATGTGTTGGAAACTGGGCTGGAAGGAGAAGATGGGTTTGGGCATTGCCACGAGTGCCACTCACTGACTTGGCACCACTGAATTTCCACAGATTGTCTCTGGTTTCTGTAGTGTTAGAGATGATTTATGGAACTATTGGCCACCAGAACAAGCTCTTTCTATGGCCCTTCCTCAGTTTAAACCACATCAGTTCTGCATTGGGTATCTAAATCCATGTGTAACCTGTGAGTAGCCATGGCTGGAGGCAGAGAAACCTTAAATTATCCAACCAAAACCACTACACAGAGTTTATACACATGGAAAGTACATAAAGTGAAGATTAATATAATATGAAAATATAAACCAATTCTGAAAGGACACTCCAAAGGGTCAGGGCTGCTCACTTTTGGTATTTTCAAGCAGGGATGAGCAGTGCTGGAGCTTTGCCACAGCTCCCCAGAAGACAAAGAAAGAATAAAGAAAAGTGGGTTTTTTGACATAGATTTAGAGCTTTTGATCCTGCTTGTAGCTTTTGAGTACCTGGAGTTGATTTTTCTACATGATGCACTGAGATGCTGGCTGGCACCACAGCTGGCAGGGACAGGGCATGGTGAAACGAGAAATTTCAAATTTCATTTCATTTCAAATTTCATTTCATTTCGAATTTCATTTCATTTTAAATTTCATTTCATTTCAAACAGCCATATCAAATTGCTCCAGAGCAGACCCCAGCTCCTCTTGCTCCCTACAAGGCTAAGGCCCCACAGAGGCATCTCAAATTAGGGAATCAGCCCAGTTTCAAATATCTGAGAGTTTTCCAGATGAATTCTCTTCCTCATTCCCCTCTCATGTGAGAAGTGTGGCTGTAATCTCCCTGTCCTGGTGTAATCCAGCCAGAGAACATGAGTCTGACATTTAACATCCTCTTTTCTCTCTCTTGCCAGGCTGCATGTGGGTTCACCCTCCCTGCTGCTCATTTTCTGGCTGACAAATTGTCTCTGGCCCTGGTGAGAGTTCATGGGAACATTGTGGTAAGGAGATTTTTATTTAATTTTGGATTTTTTTTAAAAAGCATTTCCCTAAACTTACACTGAGTCTGGTACCAGCAGGCTGCTGGGATGGGCTGAGTGTCTCCATGGCAAGTGCTTGGGGACTGGTGAGAAAAATGGTGGGGAAAAAGAGGAGCCAAAATCTCTGTGGTCACCAGCACCTTCCTTGCTGACCATTTGGCCCAAAGTGTCAAACATCTGGATTTTTTCTGTGTTTAACATCTTTTTTTTGTGGGTTTGTTAACTGGTAATGCCAAAGCCCTGGGAGAGGTGTTTGTCTCATTTACAGGAGCAAAGAAAAACAGGGGAGGGGGAGTTTCCTGTTAAATAGAAAGGGGATAATAAAGGTGTTTCTGTTGTGTTTGTTTTTAGCTCAGATTGTCTCACAATTACATGAATCAGGAGTGGGGGGGTATATGGAAAACCCCACCCTCCAAAAGCCACAAGGAGCTGCCAGCAGGACCTTGTCTGAGGGACCCTCAGCAGAAGGGCTGATCCCACCTCATCCTCATCCTCCTCTCCCTTCTCTGCTGGCCTGGAGCATGATGTGGATCCTGATTGACACCGGTGCCTGTCCAGGCTGACCAGAGCTGCTGACCAGCACCAGACCTCAGCATGGGGACACAGCAACACTGCAGGCACACACAGGGTGCAGAGGACACCAGGACATGCCCACCCTGCCCACTGCACTGTGGGCACTCACTGGTGAGCCTGGGGATGTGCTGGGTCACACTGGGGTGTGGGGAAGGGATCCACCTGGAGGGATGGAGAGCCTGGGGATGTGCTGGGTCATACTGGGGTGTGGGGAAGGGATCCACGTGGAGAGATGGAGAGCCTGGGGATGTGCTGGATAATGCTGGGGCATGGGGAAGGGATCCACCTCGAGGGATGGGGAGCCTGGGGATGTGGCCCCACCATGCTGGGTCATGCTAGGCTGTGGGGAAGGGATCCACCTCAAGGGATGGAGAACCTGAGCATGTGATGGGTCACACTGGGGTATGGGGAAGGGATCCACCTGGAGGGATGGTGAGCCTGGAGATGTGGAAACACCGTGCTGGGTCACACTCGGGTGTGGGGAAGGGATCCATGGTGAGCTTGGGGATGTGGAACCACCGTGCTGGGTCACGCTGGGGCATGGAGAAGGGATCCACCTGGAGGGATGGGGATGGCAGGTAGAGCCCACAGCAGCGGGCAGCTGGCCCGAGGAGGAGCTGATGGCCAGGGGAGAGGTGCTGGGAAGGGACAGTGTGTTTATTATGGAGGCGCAGCTGAAGCGGGTCCTTTGCCAGTGGTCAAGTCTGAATCACAAACTCTGCATTGTTTCAGAGTGTGTTCAGCACATTTCCCTTCTCCCCCTCCCTTTCCCTTTCCTCTCCTCTCGCCCTTGCACAAAGCTGTCATTGTGCCGGGGACTTGGTGATGGCAGCGTTGTTATTTGGTCAGAAAAAAAAAAAAAAAAGGAAAAAAAGAAAAAAAAAAAAGAAAAGAAAGAAGTGGGGAGGGGGGACCCAACAAGGTGAAGAGGTTTAAATCAGCTTAGCCCAAATGCCAATTAAAAACCAAAGAGGATTAGGCTTGTGATCAGCAGAATAGACAGTCATTGTACCCGGAGGAGGTTCCCCCTCCCCGGGCCCGGCGCGGCGGTGCCGCAGGTTTGGCTGGGATCGGCACCCCCGGCAGGACGGGCAGGGCAGGGGCTGCCCCCGACCGGGGCTGGGCTGGGCACCCGGCAGGGCACAGACAGGTTCCTGCTGCAAAGACCTTTTCTCGCATGTTTTAGGGACTCTTGTCCCGCCTTGAGATCGGCTGAGCAAGGAGAGGTTTCAGCGTCTTTGCCAAGGGGAAGGTCTGCCCTGAATCAGCTCCTGGGCTGGAGCATCCTTGCACCAGGGGCTGCTGCAGGGTCCCTGGGGTGAGGTCCTGGCTGGGGGACACTGTCCCCACCTTGCCAGACCCCCAGGTGCATCTCAGGTGCTTGTGCTGCCTGAGGGCTCTCTCCAGCTGGAGGAGCCTTGGTCAGACCTTTGCTCCCGAGCAGCCAGAGCATCACCTTTGGCTCCAGGCCACAGTGACAAAATGCCAGGACCATCACACGACTTCTACCCCAGTGGACATGCAGAGAAGACTGGTTCTCTGTCCCATGGATGGAGATGTGGTGTCAGTGCTTTCTGCCTGGTTTAGCCCTCTGCACTGCCCACTAACTGCTGCTTCCATGGGTTGAAGTGTCAGGTAGCCAGAGCCCCTTGTAGTCCCCTCACCTGTGAGAGGAACCCAGGCTGGGTGAGGTGTCTGGGTGATTGCTTGGGCTCAGAGCCGTGTGGATCACCTAGTTCTCTCCCAGTATGCTGGTAAATGGTAAAACTCCAGGAACAGCAAGATGCTCTGCACCATCATGGGAATCAGTCTCATTCCTGACTCTACTGACAGGGCAGTGAAAACAAATCCCCTGCAGCCAGAATGGCCACACTGGTGTGAAAAGGGTGTTGACGGAGCTGGAGTGTCCTGGTGCCACACTGGCTGCTTCAAATGAGTCCTCACTTAGGCAGAAAATGTAATTCTAGACTAACTTTGAGATTTTGTAAAGGAAAGTTACCAAATGCAATTCTAGACTAACTTTGAGGTTTTGTAAAGGTGAGTGTCCAAGTGTAGGTGGGAGCTGGGCCAGGCAGGAGGGGTTTAAGGGGCTCAGGTGGAGCTTGAGCACCTCCACGTCTGAGTGGGGGTGAGCAGCCTGGGTTCCCCTCTTTTACTCTGGGGGTGCAAAGAGACCCCTGCACTCCTGTGCTGCCTCTTATCAGTGTCTCTGCAAGGTGGATCCTTTCTGCTAATGGGGGCCAGCTCCTGGCTTGGTGGCTTTGGAGTTTGGTGGATCCCAATGTTCTGCTTTGCACAGGAGCCCAGGGATGGCTCTGGTGCAGTCTGGTCCAGCTCCAACCATCTCCTGGAAGTCGCTGAGCTGCGACCTTGCTGCTGACAGCTCTAGGTGCAAAACACTCCCAGCCTTGAGAGAGGGAGAATCAAAACGGAGTGAAAGGGACTTTTCTCTCCAAGCAGAAAGAGAAACCCTCCTGCTTCTGCACCAGGAGCTGCTTCTGGCTGAAGGACCAGAGTCGTGGTGCAACAGGCGACTGGTGCTGAAAACAAAAAAGCAGAAAAGCTGTGGAGCAAAGGAAACCTGCTTTGAGGGGACGGGGAAAGGGCGAAGGGGATGCCGTGGGCTGGGAGATGCAGCTCCTCACACCTCCCCTCTGGCCGTCCCCATGCCCGGGGATGCCCAGCGAGCTGTGGGAGCGGGAGAAGAGGGCAAGATCCTCCGCTGTTTTTTTTTTTTTTTTTTTTTTTTTTGTGGCTGCCGTGTAATTTATGATATGAGAGAGAGAGAGAGAGCACCATTGTCTGGACCCATCCTGTATTTTTCCGAGGGCTTTGCCTCTCTTCCCAGCCCCCCGCGGCGCTGCCGCTACTGTACGGTTGCTATGGGGCTGCTCCCCGCGCCGCCGCTATGCGGGCCAGAGCCGGGGAGGGCTGCCCGCATCGCCCGGACCCATCTGGAGCCCCGGGCCCGCTGCCGCAGCCCGGCGGCCCCGCTGACGTGCCGAGGGCCTGGGAATGGGGCTTTGGGCCCATCCAAGTTCACGGCCACCGGAGGCATTCAGCTGTTGGAGGAGCGGGGCGGGGGGGTGTGGGCAGTGGGATCTGGGGCGTTTGGCTCCATTCTCCCTTCCCTTTCAGCGCCGGCAATGTCCTCGGTGCATACAGATCCCCCGTCCCTTTCTCCTCCTGACAAGTGCGCACATAAATAAATTACCCCACCGGGCGAGTGTGGAACAATCTGTCCCCTAAATTCTATTCATCGCCAGACAGGACTCATTATTCCCCCGATTAAAGCCGCTGGAGTAGCTTGCAAGGGTTACAGTTACTCTGTCAAACTGTAAATAAGACACTAAAAATAAAGGGCGCTGGCGAGGGAAGGGGGAAAGGGAAGCCAGACTAATGCCTGCTGCTAGGGAAACCGAATGAATCCCTAATGACGCCTGTGTACAAACTGCAAATAATGAAGGAAAAGTGACAAACAGACCTCAGCCAGGCTGTGGCGAGGTCTTCTCTCTGTGGCAGCGGGGACCGACTCACCCCTTCCTCCAGGGACAGCCAGCAGCAGAGCTGGACCCCCTCACACACCCCTCTGAGCAGAGCATTTCAGCCCTTGTCCTTCTCTTACAGGAAGGTTTAGCTCTTGTGGGTGTTTTTATTTTTCAGGCACACAACCCACCTCTGCCTGAGCTCACATTTTGAGGTTTCAGAGAAAAAAGTCCATTGCTTGTGGTCTCAGAGCAGCTCCCAAAGTTTAGTTTGTGCTCTGCTGTTAGAACAGCTCAAAGCTCTGACCTAGGACAGGGCAGGACCAGGGGGTTAAACCCATCCTGCCCAGAACCCTGAGGGATGCAGCCCTGAGGGATCCCACCTGCAGCAGGGCATCACTGCCATGGCTGAGATGGAGATGCAGGGCTGAATCCCAGGTCTGAGCAGCCTGGGCCATGATAGATCACAGGGGAGGATGTGTCCAGCCCTCTTTGGATAAAACACAGTCCCTTCCTGGCTGGTCTCTTGCCAGGCAGTAAAGACAGGGATATTTGCCTTGCAGCAGATCCTTTTTCTCCTTTGCTATCTTAGAGCTGAAGAAATGAGGCAAAACCACCAGCTATAGGCTTGTTGTGGGTGTTTCTCAGTTGCAGAGGGACTGAAATGTGAGAGTTTTATTTCAGGTCCTGCTCGAACTATTCCCACCACCCTCACTGGGTGAAATGCTGGAATTCTCTGTGTTGCTCAGGGAAATATTTTGATTCACGTCCTCCAAGCCTGTAAAAGAGAAAAGACAGCTCTGAGCTGTGTCCCTCCAGGTGGGTTCTTGCTCTCCACCGAGCAGGGAAGGTCCTGGTAGGGCTGTGCAGTCCTTGGGAGCCAGAGCAGACCAAGCTGGACACTGAGCCCTCATCCCCCAGATCTGTGGGGATGCCTCAGTGCTCTCCCATCCTCCCCCGTCTCTGGAGCCTGATCTCCACCAAGGAAAGGCACAGCCAAGAGCAGGTGCTGATGATCCCTGCCCTGTGGGTGCTGTTCAGCACAGCACCCACCTGCTCTCCCAACAGCAGCAGAATTGCAAGGGGCCTCATGCAAGCAGAGGGTTTTTTAGAGACTTGTTATGCTTCTACAAGGCTCAGACATCTTAAAAGGGATTTTTTTCAGGCCAGCTGAGCTAGTCTGGAGCCCAGTTGCATTTCCCAGTCGGGTCAAACCAAGGCTTAGCAGATTTCTTTCCCTTCTGTCTTAGGGGAAACAAACCCTTTTCACCCACAATTCCTGGCTCTGAGGCCCCATGGCTCCAAAGCAGCATTCCTGGGACATTCCTGGTGCCATGGTATGTGCAGAATTTCCAACAGAGGCTCATGGCTCCACATCTCCATGTGCTCTGCCTGCTGGACTCTGTTATTTGGGAGAAGGTCCAGGATGGAGCAGGAGATTCATGATTGCCGTTGGTAATAATTTAATAATTGGTATTGGTATTGCTCATGGTGGTGTCTGTGCAGCTCCTATGGCCCCAGGAGGGTGTGTGCAGGTGCTGATGAAGGAAAAGCTGTGCTCCTGTCCCTTCTCAGCAATATTTACCAGCTTAGCTGGAAAAAAGGCAATTTGAAAAAGTCTCAAAACCAGCCAGACCTGAGCAAATCAAATCCATTCTGGGTTGTCCTGGTGCTCTCCATGGAAATTGGGCAGCTCTTCACCACCCCTGCTCCCTGGAGTTTGCCTTTAGAGGAGATTTGGGCTTAGGGAACCTCATGGTAACCTGGGAGAGAGTTTTGGGGTTTTGTTCTCTACCAGGAAAGTCTTGGCTTGCAGACTCAGGTGCTGGGAGCAGCATCAGGGCCAGGGATGCAATTGGGATTACTCAGATCTGCTTGAGACCACACCAGGAATGGCAAAATGAATTTAACTTGCCTTTCCCTGCTTGAATGTCTTGGGTCACATTTTCCAACCTGTAAAAAGAGGTTTATCACTACTTTTTAATGGAATCTGTGATTCCCCTCCATGTGAATCACCCAGAAACTCAAACTCTACATGGTGTTTGAGGACACTGGGTGTTGTTGGCTCTTGGGCAAAGCACATCCAACCAGATTTGCCCTGGAGAGATGAGGACAATCAGGGAATGCTCCATTTTAGATCTCTTCATAGCAGCTCTGAGAAGATCCTGTGCCTCCTCTCATTTCCTCAGGACACCTGACTGTGCTTTTCCACCCATCCACAGATGTCACCTGGATGTGTCCATGAACCAGCTCACTCTTGGACCTTCAAAGCTGCCTCAGCAAGGTCCAAAGGGCCCTGTTCCAGCCACACCCCTGTCAGCTCCCTTTCCTTTCCAAGGATTAGGATGAGGCAAATAACTCCAGTCTGCTTTAATCCTCAATACCTGATTCTGCAGGAGCCACACACAGCACACACACATCTCAGTAATAGCCAGGTAACTCACAGGGCTAAATCACTCTGGGTTTTTTTTTCATTATAACCTCCCTTTAAAGCACATTTAAATGCTTCCCTGCAGGCTCATGTGAGGGCTGTTAAGGGCTTCATTTGAATAAATAAGGGCACAGGTAGAGGAGGAACATCACCACAGCCCCTGGAAACCCAGCACCAGCCATGGCAGCAGTGGGCTGGCGAGTGGCAAAGGGCCTCCATGTTATATATTCCATAAAGTAGAGTAATTAAGTATTACTAGTTTTGATGACTTCAAACAGAGTGACTCCAGGAAATAAGCCCCTTCTTTATAATTAGTGGGATTTCCTCTGCATCAAACGGAGAGATTGATTCTTTAATCTGCTCACATGCTTTTGATTTGGTCTTTCAGCTGCTTGTACCAACTGCTTCTACTCCCTGCTCTTGCCGATAAAACCTTGCAAAGGAGATTTTAGGAAGGCATGACCTGAGTTGAGGTCCAGGATTTTCTTTGTGTGTGGCTGTTTTGTGAATTCCTAATTTGCCAGAGATGATGATCATGATGATAACGAGAATAAAAAAATAACACAGACATGAGTTTTAAACGTCCACCTATGTTTAGGTCAAATAATTGTGGTTTGGGGTTTTGTTTATTGTCTTCTCAGCACACCTCTTAGCTCTGGATCATGATTTTTAGCACCTGAAAATGTAATTTTGGCTTCCTGTCTGCAGGTTGGGCTCACTGAATAATGCTGCTCTTGTAAGAGCACACCCCTAAAACCAGGTCTGCTGGAATCTCAAGGGCTCCACTGAAATTAGGGCTGGACCTGTGCAGAGTGTCTTTGGATATTTCAGGGGTTGGACCTGATTTAGAGCTAAACCCAGGAACTTGGGAAGCTCTGTCTGAAATTAAACAGATTGTGGCTGCCCCAACCCTGGGGCAGGTTGGAGAGGGCTCGTGGCAGGGGATAAATGAGATGAGCTTTAAGGTCCCTTCCAATCAAAACCATTCCACAATTCTATGAAAATCCCTGCAAATCTTGCTGGTTTCCAAATGAAGAGTTCAGGAAAAAGTGAGAACTTGGCCCCTGCAAGTGCAAGAAGCTGATGTGAGCAATCACCTCCCTCCTGGGCATCTCCATGGGGTCAGTGGTGCTGCATCAGTCATGTGGGAGATGTGGGCTGGGATCTGTGCTGGTTCCAGGCATGGACTAAACCTCCCATGTCCTTCTTCCACCTCCAAAGCATCTCAGCCCTTGAATCATCTCAGCAAACAGCCCCTGGCTGGGTTTTCTTCTGCCGTGTGAGGTTCTTCTAAGGAGATAAAAACGGGGGGGAAATTGGGAATAGGGTGCTTTCCATCCACCTTTTGATGTTGTTGGGAATGTGCAGGATGAGCAAAAGAGGCTGGTGGGCCTCGTGTGCATCCCAGACGGTGAGAATGAGAGAGGACAATGGCTCAGCTTTGGCAGCTGCAGGGCAGGGACTGGCACCACAAACAAGGTGGGAAGGGCAAATGGGGCTGTGCCAGCCCTGGCAGGTGGCACCAACGTGCAGGGAGGAGCTGTGGGGAGGGGATGGATCCTCCTGGGCTCACCTGGAGCTGGAGCAGGAGCAGGAATGCTGGAGCAGTGGTTGGTATGCCCTGCACAAGCCTCCCTGCGTCGGGAGCGGTGTCGAACACAGATCGTATAATTAGGGAGCCAGTGAATACGTAACTGTGCATTATGCAAATAGTGATCAAAATCACTGTTTTCAGCAGAAATGCCTGAAGATCAAGACAGAAGCTTCATGCAACCTTAATTTAATCTGGTCCTGCAGGAGTGGGGAGGTCTGATGGATGACCCAACCTTGTGCCTGCCCGTGTTTAGCAAGGCTGGGGTGGGAGGCGGGGGGAGGAGTGCTGGAGCATGCTAAGCAAGGGGAAATGGCACTGAAATCATGTTAGCAAACAGGGAAAAAGGGCAGAAAGAGCTGATGTTTACAGTAATTTTGTTTTTCTTTGAATTTCAGGTGAAGAGCATAAGGCTGGAAGAATAGGAAAAATTAAAAAAAAAGAAAGAAGAAAAGAAAGAAAGAGAGTCTCCAACCCCAGGAAATCTGTGTTAATTGCTTATGAATGTCTCTGTCTAAAAAATTATCGAATTGATGTTGTCGTGCTTTTTTTTGACAGCCTGTCTGTTACATTTTTTTAAAATATTCATGCACCGAAATCTAATTACTAGGCAAATTTAATGATAATGAAATGAAGGCACTTTAGCAGAAAGCATAGGGCCTTGTTAATGTTTTCTCAGCCTCTGTCTTGTTCGTATTTTTAAAATTATTTTTTTACAACTGTCTTTCTTGCACATGAAAAAAAAAAAAGATTGCTGAAAATAAAACTCAGATTGCCGGTAATGTTTGTGGTGGTTCTGTTTGTAATGATGGGGAATTTGCAAGGTGATTAAAGGTGTTTTGCAAAAATCAAATGAGCCTAACCTAATCAGATAAGTCAGATGAAATATTATTATTAGAGGGGTAACATTAAGAGCATGCCTGGAGGCTTTAACAAAGACGAAACGTCTCGTGCACCGTGCAGGGCCAATGACAGCCTTCCATCCTTGGGGCCCCTTCTGCCCCTTTCCAGGGCACAGGACTTGTGTGCTCTCCCTAGGCCAGGCCTGGGTGGTTGGAGGATGCACACGGTGGTGGGAGGATGGATCTGATGGTTGCAGGTTGGATGTGATGGTTGGAGGATGGATATGATAGTTGCAGGTTGGATGTGATGGTTGGAGGATGAATGTGATCGTTGGAAGATGGATGTGATAGTTGGAGGATGTCTGTGATGGTTGGAGGATGGATGTGATGGTTGCAGGTTGTATGTGATGGTTGGAGGATGAATGTGATGGTTGGAGGATGCATGTGATGGTTGCAGGATGCCCATGATAGTTGGAGGATGTGCGTGATGTTTACAGAACACACGCAATGGTTGCAGGACACATGATTGTTGCAGGATGTGCGTGATGGTTGGAGGATAGATGTGATGGTTGGAGCATGGTTGTGATGGTTGGAGGATGCCCATGATGGTTGCAGGACACGTATGATGGTTGCAGGATGGATGCGATGTTTGGAGGATGGATATGATGGTTGCAGGATGCCCATGATGGTTGGAGGATGGATGTGATGTTTGGAGGATGGATGTGATGGTTGGAGGATCAATGTGATGGTTGGAGGATGCATGTGATGGTTGGAGGATGTGCATGATGTTTGCAGAGCGCGCACAATGGTTGCAGGACACATGATTGTTGCAGGATGGATGTGATGGTTGGAAGGTGCATGTGATGGTTGCAGGATGGATGTGATGGTTGCAGGATGCACATGATGGTTGCAGGATGCACATGATGGCTGCAGGATGGATGTGATGGTTGAAGGATGCACATGATGGTTGGAGGATGGATGTGATGGTTGGAGGATGCACATGATGGTTGGATGGTCCATGTGATAGTTGAAGGGTGCATGTGATGGTCGCAGGATGCACATGATGGTTGCAGGATGCACACAATGGTTGCAGGACACGTGTGATCATTGCAGGATGGATGTGATGGGGAGTGCAGGTGATGGACAGAGTGTGAACGTGAGGCTTGGAGCCTGTGTGTAACGGCTGGAGAACACTCATGATGAATGGAGAAGTTGTAATGGATGGAGCATGAACATGACCAAACATCCACGTGGTGGATGGAGCACGCACGTGATGGCTGGAGGACACACGGGACAGGTGGAACACAGATGGAACACAGGTGATGGTTGGAGCATGCACATGATGGACCTGGCATGTGATAGTTTGTCCACCTGCTCCAGGCCTCTCCTGCACCCCTCTCGGTGGTCACTGAGCAGAGTGCCTGCAGCTGGGTGGCAGAAAAACACCATGATCCCACCTGTGGGCCTGAGGAGATGCCACCTGGGACCCATGGGCCATCAGGGCAGGGGCCAGCCTGATTGCCAGGAAGGCATGGGGGGTCTCTGGCCATGCTGCAGGCTGGGTGGGCATCCATGCCATGGTGGATGTCCCCAGGCCATGGTGGATGTCCATGCCCTGGTGGTGTCCATGCCCTGGTGGGTGTCAAGGCCATGATGATTGTAAATGGTGGGTGTCCAGGCTGTGGTGGGTGTCCAGGCCATGGTGGGTGTCCCCAGGCCATGGTAGATGTCCATGCCGTGGTGGGTGTCCATGCTGTGGTTTGAAGAGTTTTTCCATGGTTGTCTATGCTGTGGTGGGTGTCCATGCCATGGTGGGTGTCCATACCACAGCCTGTCCTGCCCTGCAGCTCTGCCCCTGCTATTTCTATGACCTAAAGATGAGGATGGTGTCAAAGGTTTCACTGAGGGTGCTGGTGACCCCAATCATTTCTGTAGGATTTCCACTTCTGGAAGACCATCAGGAAATTCCTTTTGCTGTGGTTGGGGTGGTCACCACCCGGAGGAGGTGCTGTGGGTGGGATGTGCCAGCTGGGCTTGTTGGCTGCCCTGTGGTGGGTGGCTGGAGGCCAAGCTCACACCTTTGGGCTCGTGTTCCCCAGGCTCCCCAGCACAAAGTGAGGGGTCTCTGTGGTGTCCTTGCCCCTGTGGGAATGAGGTGTGTGGGAATTCACAAGTTTGCAGCCCTGGCTGTGGACGTGGCTGGTCAGAACTGGTTTTTCCTCCCCAGAAATGCTGCTCTGCATCCTGGGCTCACCAGGGGCAGCTCAGTGGGTTGGAACAGGTCTGCCAGGTCCTGAGGGAGCACCAGTGCAGGGCAGGATGTGTTTTGGACCTCCTTTGATTCTCAAACTCCCTCAGCAAGGGCAAGGCTCCCTGCTCAGCCCCCCAGATTTCTCCAACGTGGCAAATCTCCTGGAAGTAGCTCCCAGACCACGTTAATCCCCTTAATCCTTCCTGCAGCCCTTCCCTGCTGGTGCTCAGGCACTGAAAGGCTCCTGACACATCTCTCAAGTGCTGCAGCTGCCTGAAGAGGGATCCCAGCTCCTCAGAGTCAGGGGACCAGCCCTGCCTCCCTTTTGTGCCTCTGCTTTCCACATCTCCTGCTGCAAAGCCTTGGGCACTTGTGGGTCTGAGTGAGGGACAGGGAGAGCTTCCTGACTGCTCCCAGACCTGCCACACACATTTGGGGTCTGGATTTCCAGCCTTGCAGCAAGGAATTCTCCCTCTGCACCCAAGTCCTTTGCAAAAGATTTGTCTCCCTCCTCTCCCCTGCCACAACCATCAGATCTGTCCTTCGCCCTGCCCTGAGGAGCAGTTCAGTGACACAGGGAGGGCTTGCAGACTCTGCCATGGGGACCCCATGAGTGCTTTTCCCTCCCTTTCCTTCTGTGCTTCTCCACTTTGTGTCTCCTAAAGTGCTTCGTGTGGTTTTTCTCTGACCTTCAGCTCATCTCGTGGGGAGAAGAGCAATCCTTGGGATCACTGCATGGAACCATGGAATGGTGTGGGTTGGAAGGTGCCTTAAAACCCATCTCATTCTTCCACTGTCCCAAACTGCTCCAAACCCCATCCAACCAAGCCTTGGACACTTCCAGAGGTGGCCCAGCCTTCTCTGGGCAACCTGTGCCAGGGCCTCACCATCCTCATTGTTAAACCTCCTTCTTTAGGTCACATATAAAGTTCTCAAATATAAATATAAAATTCTTGTGATATGTGGGAGGCTGTTCCATGCTCAGCTGTCCTGAACAAAAGCCTGAGTGGACTCAGGAATGCTCCCAGACTCGCACACACACACACAGAGCTCCTGAGCTGTATTTATCCTCCAAAGTGACAGTTTTCTATTAGAGAGCTGCAGCCCAGCACGGTGATTATAATTGTCACTAATTTCTTTCTTTAGCAATCAGGTTTGTGCCTTGACACTGTGGCATAAAACGAGGCAGATTCCCCCCATTCCAGGCTGGCTCTTGAAATGTTTGTA